CTCTCTCTCTCTCTCTCTCTCTCTCTCACCCGCAGATATATGACCCTGAAGATGATTGATTTAGGTTCAATATGGAATCCAGGGATCAAAGGCAGGATCTTTCCTTGTGTCGAACCCAGAACCTGGCCCTGCAGGGTAGGCATCGGGAGTCTGTTTTCTTGTTTTGTTGTCCCTGAGATTCAAACCTAGGACATGCGAGGAAAGCCCCCTGTTTGCCAGCGATGGCCTCTAGAGTCTAGATCTTTCAGGCTACCAGGATCGCAACATCTTCAGAGACAAACCCAGTAGGCCCAGGAAAACAGCTGGGCAAGTCGACTGCTGTGAATCATTTCTTGTTTGTCAAGTTTGATGAAGCAGTGAAACTGAGGCAATACTATTTTTGGACAGTGGAAGATGAGAGTAGAGCTCAGCCATAGCCAGTGAGATGGGACTGTTCAGTGCTTCATTTTTGAGTCTGACTGATGCATGGTGTTCAGGGCAGCACACCGCCTTACAGGTGCACATAAGTTTTTCTCAGTTTCAGAAACAAAATTCAGTACCAATAATCAATATTAGTTTAGCTGTTACGCCTCCAATTGGGTGTGTGATGCTTCCAATCAAGTCTTTGCAAGTAAGAATCTGTTGAAAATTGCAATCGATTGAAGTCTTGCCCAGAGGTAAAGGAGCTGGAGATGATTGAAATATTGGACACGTGATTGAGCCTGATACTTACCCACATTAGAAAAGGTCCCAACTCAGCCATCAGAGAGCCGGATTGGAACTCATCACTGTGTTTGGACTTGAGTGAGAACCATGTGAAGGTGTGCGATGCATGATGACCTCAATTCAGGTGTATTGGAGCCGCTGATTACCTACCTCATGCTGCACCTTGTTCCACAATGGTTTTTCGTGGAGATTCAGCCCACGTGTTAGAGAAGACAAAGAGAGATAGTGTAGAGAAGCTGACAACCGGAGGAGAAGAGTCGCGAGTGCATGACCACGCAGCAGAAAGCTCAGAAGGAGGCCTACGCGTTCCAGAAGGAGAAAAGCCCAGGGACAATCACAGAGATGGCAGCAGAAAGGAAGCCGGGAGCTCACCGAGTTGGAGAAGTGGACGGCCTAGGGAAGATGCTGGGGCGGCGGGATTTGTTGCTTTTGCTCTTGCCAACACTCAAACATGGAACCTCATGCAAGGTAAGTATACAAGTTTGCTTTTGGGTGTGCTGTTTTGATGATGATTGAAGATCGAGAGCTTCAGACCTAGGACCTATTTGTTGGATCTCTGTTGGCCAAGTTTAGAGTAGGCCCTTCCAGACCAGCAGGCCTAGTCTGGGAGGAAGCTCTGGGCAGCACAAGTTACGAATTTTCTTCCTGCAAGTTTGCTGGGGTAGAAGAAGGAGAAGCAGCGTTAGGGCTGATTGCAGGCAGAGTAGGGGCAGCCATAGCGAGGCAGTTCTGGCAGTCAACAGCATCATGTTCTGCTCCGAATGGTGCTCAGTGCTCAGGGAAGTTGGATGCCCCTGTGGAAATAGCAATTTTTCTGTTATATAAAGTATAGCCTACTGTGTGTGTTCAATGTTGAATTTTCAGCAAGCTTTCTATCTAGTGTTGATTTCATCTCAATCAAGTGAGCAAATGAGATGGCACATGCACCTACACTAGAAGACACTATGGAGTATGACAAACACATCAGCCAGTCAGAGTCCTCCCAAAATTTATAGGAGAGGTGTACATGGTCATGCGTCGAGGCAAGTTGTCATGCAGTAAAAAGGTGGAGGCTCTCTCTCTCTCTCTCTCTCTCTCTCTCTCTCTCTCTCTCTCTCTCTCTCTCTCTCTCTCTCTCTCTCTC